AATGGCCAAGCGACCGTTGCCCATAGACATCGGACATAAATCGACGGAGGAGATGCAAATAAAAAGGGTATTTACCCTTCTTATGTGTCTCCACCGTCAATTCCACTTTCCCATCCAATCCCCTTCCAATTCCCTTATAAAAAGACGGTGGAATGGATAAGGGACTAAAATAGGCAATATGCATATGACTCCAAACTGTACCAAACTTTTTTAAGTGTTCTTTATTACTATATAAACATACCTGTATTTTTTTTTAAATGATGTGATTTAATGGCGAAATTTAATGATTAAAAAGTGTCTTTTTTTAAAACCCCCTCCCTAAATTCTAAAACAACGTTATTGGTCGAAGCAAGTGACTTACCTATAATGGCGTAGCTTTGTTGTCAATACACAGTTCATTTACGTTAGTTTATATAGAAATTCACTCTTGACGTATTTTACTGTAAATACTATTTTCAAACTAACTTTAAAATAAAAACTAAATGGAAAGAATCATTAATTACCACTTTTTTGTACTAGGAATAATGGAAATGAATCGATTTTTGACTTTTGAGAACTCTGAGAACCAATGAGATACTTTGTTGTTTTTTTTTTACATCAAAGTGACATTTGAGCGAATGTGATAAATGTGACGATTAACGTCACATGTCTCAAAACAACTCCGGTCGCGTTTTGGTCGCACAAAAATGATCGTAATTTTTTTTAGCTCAACGGTTGAATTTTTTCTAGTAAATATTTTTTTCTGGTTATTTTATAACAAGTAGAATCGTTTAAAAAAAGAAAAAATACATGCATATTCCCTATTGAAATAAATGTTTAACTTATTATTTATCAGATTATTTTAGTAGAACCCAATTCATGTTTTGTTTTAAGTCAGAAATTGTCGAATAATGCAAGTCATTCCAAAGAGTAAGTTTCGCAGAGCTGTCAGTCAAAGAGTATAATTCGATACAGACGTTCCGTTTTTAGTTTGTTAGCGATAACATAAAGTATTTAAATACTAACTAAAGAAAAACTATGTAAATTTTCAGACTTTGCCTGCGCCGATGTTGGGCGGCGAGCTGTCTCTCATACCGATAGAACAACTTATACAAGTGGAGGACGTCAAGCCGCGACAGGTCACGTAAAACATACAGTTTAAAAAACATGCTCCCAATTTCTCTTACAGCTATAAATATAAACAAATATAATTTATCTCATATTTCAACTAAACTTTCTATTTTTTTTTTCATTAATTTTTAATTTATTAAAGGTTTTTTGACGTTTCTTTCTGTTAAATTTTTTTAGGTTATTTTATTTGAATTATGTTTTTTGTACAATGCATATGTGTTTATATTTATAGCTGGTATTGTTGTCTTTTAATGTTTATAGTCCACTTGTTTAATTCATCACATTCTTTTTATATACTTCCCAAGTTGTCGTCAAACCTTTAATTGAATAATACAATTTATGTGAATTTGTTTAATGATTTAACAGTGGTAGTGCCCGCTTTAACATGTTAGCACTGCAGGGCTCGCCCCCAGTAATACCACGACCACACAGAAGACAGCCGTCAAATAGAAGCAATTCCGTGTACAGTCTGATGAGTGTGGTGCCGGAGGCCTAATTTAAGTCCCTTTCT